ATAACAAAGATGAGGACAATAGTCCCAATATAAATAGCGTAACTAATAACTCCTTCAATGTGTATATGAAGGTCCTAGGTCTGCTTTAAAAATTGATCTTGGTGTTAGCAGTTTTGTTTCAATCTAAAAGGGTATTAAACAAAGAGACTGACAAACAAAGCTAATCGGCCATTCTCTTCTGAGTTGCTGTAATATTTAAAATTGAACAGGAAGATAGTAAATTTTTTTTTGTTTTGTTTGTTTAGCGGCATATCAACTCTTTGAGTCATTTAATGCCAAAATTTAATTTTCTTGGGAACATTATAAATTTCTTGACAAAAAATATATTGTTGATATTTTTCTTTTTCTTTACAGAAATATACTGTTGAGAATTTTTTTATGGTGAAAATGTATTGCTAATATTTTTACAATAAAACTTTTTATACTTTCATAGTCATAGTATTTTCAACCAAGTTTGGGGGTTGTGCATGGCTGAGACCCTAACAGGTACTACCACCCTGGGTCAGGGTGGACATGGGAACAACAATTGAGAGGTGGTTCTATGCTCCTCAAAACCTCCAATCTCTTGATCAGAGGCCTTGCTGCCAGATGTAGTTTATCGTCATATCCAAGACAGTAAAGTGAAAGTGATTTCTCTACTGGATATCAAATAATACCAAATGCAGAGGATATAGGCTTGACAAACTAGAATCTAAATTAGTTCCAAATATTTTTTAACTGTCTTTCCCATAACACAAAAATGGTCATTGAACTGAACCTCAAGCTGTTTCAATGAAAACAGACAATGCACAGCTACAACTTATCATCCAAATAGGCTGAACAAAAATTAAGTGCCTGATTTATCTTGGTTACAAGCTATTTTGCAAAAAATACCAAAAAATTGCACAAAATCACCAAATAAGCCTTGGATGGGATGATTTTGGAAAAGATAAAAGTATACTGAAAAATCACCAATATTACCAATCCATACTAAAATGAATATATAACTTACAGCATAGAGTATAGTGCCAGTTTTTATGATCAGTATCTTATACAAAAAATAAGGGGTTGCACTATACACAGGTAAGTTTTTAAGATGTTAAAAATCATGCTTTTTTGGTGACTGGTTGTACTATAAAAAGGTAAATTTTTCTGGAGAGGTTAAAATTCATGCAAAAAAAAAAAAAAAGTCAAATATGGAGTTGGCTTATACACAAGTATATACAGAATGTGTATTCTTCCAACTGTTTCATATGATTTAGATTGTGACATGGAATCAAAAACTTTCAGCTCAAATTAAATGATTCCAAAACCATATGATGCACATCCTCACAGACTGCAAGCTGATAAACAAAGTGGAAAATAACCATTCTTTGAAATTGAACTAATCTGTCTCCACTCTGATAACATCTATAGCAAATCCACAAAACTATTTGGACACATTAAAAGATCTAACACAGTGCTCACTAAATTGTGCCTTGAGGTTATGGATTTGAACAACTTGAAAAATAAGAAATGCTATATCAGTCATCATTAGTGATTGCTTAGGAGTGGGGAGAGAATTTACACTTTGCTATAAAGTTGTCTGTCAGAAGACTTTGTGTGTGTGTGTGTGTGTGTGTGTGTGTGTGTGTGTGTGTGTGTGTGTGTGTGTGTGTGTGTGTGTGTGTAATAGTATCCAAAGCAAAAGTGAAGATGATGAAACAAAATGGAAAATTTATTGAGAAACAAAGATAAAATTGTATATATGGGAGAAGAGCATATGTACAATGTGTGTACAGGTATATATAGTAGTGACATCCTAAATTTCCAGGAATTGGTTCTATAAAGGCAGATAATCTTAAGGAATCTTTTCTGCTTATTTTCTTTTCATTCTGGAAATGGAAACAAATCACTTAATATTAAAAAGAATTAAACCATTTTGATAATTTAATAGAAGACATTTATTTATTAAGATATTTCCAGATTGAAATTCTCTTCTCATCATATTTCTGTTCAGAAGTCTGATGCTTTTTGACTCTAGAGTCATCAGCTGTTTTTTAGCCACATTTAAATTGAATTGCTGCAGTCCCAAAGATCCAATGGAAGACCTATCAAATTTATGACTAGAAGGGGGCAGGGGGCATGTGTGCAATCTTAGTGTAACAAACATTTTACCTAGACCATCAGCTATTAAGATTATTTTCAGTTAATCCAACAACTAGTTTGCTAAGCTTTTATAATTTTAAGAATTGGTTCATGTGAATCAGTAGGATGCCACCATTGGGTGTATATATATATGAGAAATACTTGTGCACATGTAAAAAAAGCTTTACACTGTGTATATGAGTGTGTACATATATGAGTATATACATACATGTATGGGTGTGAATGTTTGTACACATATATGTAGGTGTGTATATATAATAAAAAACACCAGTTTTGGTGGACTGATTTAAAATCCAACCACACCAAATGCCTCTGATATAGATAAAACAAACAAGTGAACAGACAATCTGTCAAGTCTGTACATTGGAAGTGATAAGGTATCTAATTTAATTTGACTTAGGATTACTACTTATCCACAGAGTTTCCAAGACATTTTCCCTCTCATTTTGTCTTTCTTTCATTCTAACCTGAAAAATCCAAAGAGAGTAAACACACTCTAGCAAAATGTATGAATAAATTTTCCACTTTGTTTCATTATATATATATATATATATATATATATATACATACATACATACATACATAATCCATGCTATATACATTCTTCCAATTATTATTACATGGTTAAGAATGTGTAACAGACTCAAAAACTTTTTGCTCAAATTATAACATTCTAAATCCCTATGATACGCATCCTACCAGATCACAAGCTGATAGACAAAGTGAAAATAACCATTCTTTGAAATGGAACCAATCTTTTTCCATTCTGATATCATCCATAACAAATACATGAAACAATTTGAATACATTAAAAATCTAATACATGGCTCACTAAATTGTGTATTAAAGATATGGAGCCTGGATTTTTTTCAAAAACCAAAACAGAATTGAGAAATAACATAATTTTGTGGTTGCTAACTAATCAGTGGCTGACACTAAATAAGCTTGTTCATGGTCATAATAAATGGTGGGAAATAAGTCATGTAAGTTCACAATTTGTCAGAAACAATGGTTGAGGAATCTCTTGCATATGCTATTGACATCAAATTGCCAAGTTGCTTGGGTTTAATTGGATTAACTGTTGCCTTAGCCTGGCAGAAGACATTTCTATGACAGTTAAACTCAAGTGGCTTGTGAAAATAGTCTTTTATACTGCCTTACACGTAAATGCTTCATTCAAGGAATTTTGAACTGAGCCCTTTATTTATGGGGATAGATTGTTCTCATTCCACATATCTAGGGGCCTCTTGACGTGATATAATGGTTAGCAGCTTGTCTCGCTAGACCAATTATGACTGAGTAGTGAGTTTGATCTTCACTAGGTGTCTCATACTTTCAGCTTTGTGTGACATCTAAGCTACCCTTAGAGAATCACCATGGCTAGGGATATCTAACGTTGTTCTTATTTAACAAATAATTAGACATTCAGAGTAGAAATAAAAAATTCGATATTTATACCAAAAGTATCATTGATTTCTGAATTATAAGAATTTATTACACCAACTAATTCTACTTCGCAATTTGATATTTTTGATTTTACAAGTACATAACACGACAGGAAAGATATTAAAATTTCTGATCATCATTTTTTTTTAGCTTAGAATAGCAAAATACTTACCACTTAAATATATTTTTAAAAAATTAGGTACAGTGATCTCAGTGGCAACGGGGCATGAAAAATTTGTTTAGGTCTCAAATTTGGGGTTTCGATACTGATCAATACAAAAAATATTTTATCAGGTGAGCCACATTGCCTTTCCCACAACACTGGTTACTAGTTGTCATGATCTAGGCTACACACCAAACGTTTTTAGAGTTTGCGATTTTAAGGTAAATTAATACAAACAAGGGGGAAAGAACTTGGGTGCTGAGATGACTAGACAAAAAAAAAAAAAAAAATTATTTTTTCCGAAAAACAAAATTGTGGAAATGTATTTGTTTGACTAAGAAAAGAATATCAACGGAGAAGGCTGACATATTGAAATTTAAATTATCGAAATAACAATATTTTAAACAAATTAAAAGGATATTAATAAAACAAAACTTTTTTAGACTTCTGGAGAGGTCTTTAACCTTTTTGGTTTGATTACAAAAATATTTTTAATAAAGAAAACTAGAACTACTTTAACGTCTTTTTTTAAATGATTACCTAAGGCTAAAGTTTGCATAAAAAAGTAAAACTTTATCGTCTTTTGCTAAAAACAAAAAACAAAAAAAAATTCGAAGTACCTGACACAGATTTTTTTAATCAACAACATACTTTTTTGTTTGATAAATTAGAAGATTTAATTAAAATTATTTTTCCTTTTCTAGCTTTCTGTTACGATCTGTTAGAAAAAAATATCAAATTTTATAATGGATTAATTTATTTTTTTAAATATAGCACTAAAATAAATTTTTAGACAGTGTTTTAGTGAGACAATATATATATTTTTTTAAACTTTGAAAAATATAATGTCAAACAAACACAAGAAACGTCAATGACTAAGAATTAAATAAAATACAAAAACCAAAAAACTAAAAAGTTTAATTTTTGAAAAACATTACGAACGAACGAGTAATAATGAACAAATTTAAATTTTAATCATTGAATGGAAATGTTGTCATTGTAATATTTTATGATCTCTACGGTACGACACTAACCAAATGTAAAATACATACAAAAAATAAAGACTTTAAAAGATTACAGATCTTAATAATTTTTATTACTTATGGCGAGATTTCACATGTTAATAATGCGTATGATGATAAAAAAAAAAAGTTACTGACATTAAATGCCCAAGGCTCAGTAAGTAAAACAGAGCGAAGATCAAGATAGGAATTTTTTAAAAATCAGTATTTGCTTATAAAAAGAATATAATCGATAGACAAACCTTGAGGTCATTTTCTGGAAGATATTTACATTCTTTTGCAATCTCAATCCACTTGTCAACATTATCGTCCGCCATTTCTGATAACCTTTATTTTGAAAAGATTACGAAGGGAGATAACTTTGATTGCCAACCGGAACCTACTAAAAAAAAGAACTCTAAGAGAATAAATGTTACCTGGAAAAAGGAACCACACAGGTTTCATTGGACAAACTTTGACTTAAACTTTACATTACAACTTACGATAAAATATTTCTTATGAAAATATACAGCAAATACATTCTTAAACAAATACAACTTAGATAAAAAATACTCTACTGTAATTTTACAGTGTAAATAATAATTTTGACACAAAAATAATTCCAAACATAAGTTTACCCACGTGACAGGTCTCATTATTTCTCTTCGAATAATTATTTATATACGCTTATCAGACGTAAACGTAATATATGCTATCAGTATACGTTTATTAAAATGTACTTTATTGTACAAGGTCCTAAACCTATAACAAAAATTGAAAACTATATCAGTTTGAAAATTATAGTAAGCCTATCTTTATAGATATCTTCATAAGTTATTAAATTTACTAAGATTTCAGTTAATTTTTTAATAACATATTTATTGGAAAAAGAATTGAGTATAAAACGTAAACAAAGTATTAATGGTTTCAGGTAAATGATTGCTTTAAACTCTTAAAAACTGCAGGTTTGAAAGGTGAAGAATTGTCTATTTTATAGCAATCTTTAAATAAGTAATAAACAAAAACTATAATTTAAAAAAAATGTATTGTATATTTTGAAAGTATACTATTAATACTATAGTATCTACTTATCTTCCTCCAGCAGATATACATTACACTCTAAAAGAAAAGAATATTAAATAGCCTCATGTATTTTAAAAGATCAAAGGGGTAAAGGAGTCTGCTCTACTATTTAACACATAACTGGGAAGAGAGAGATGGTTTCATACCTTTCCAAAGGGTATTTGTGCATAAATAAATGTAATGAGCTTTGTTATGGTGTTATCTGCAGGTTCATAAAAAAAAAAAAAATTTTCTTGGTTTTGCAGGTTGTTAGTATGATTGGATAAATATTTAGTCTCTCAGGTCACCCATTCCCACCTCTGGAAGACAGAACCTTGTTGTTGTTGTTACTGAAAAAAAAATAAGCAAATCTAAATCAATAAATAAACAAATTAACAGATCGCAGCATCTCTCAGAGGGTGAAATTTAAATTTTTATTATTGCATTATTCCAAAATCTTACCATATCAGCAGATAGCTATTAATGTCAACAACTGAGCACAAATAGTTATTAATTTAAAAAATTAGTAATTAATGTATAATATTATTCATAACTACATGTACAAGAATGTTGTTTTTGATAAAAGTTAAAAAACAACCATAAATACGTAAAAAATTCCTTTTCCTACAATATAGCTATTTGTGCTATATCATAATGCTTATTACCTAAACAATAATAATACTAAATAAATTTTGTTTAAACATTAAAGTATATTTAATCACATCTCCCTAATAGCTGTCATGGTTTGTAAGTAAATAATATATTTTAGGTTAGGTAATTGGGTTGAATTTAGCTGAAGTGATTGGATTTAGGTGATGTAATTGAGAAGACCATTCTATTGCCCTAACCCTATTCTTCTGAAACTATTCTGAGATGATTTTCAATGCACGTCTTGATGGAAAATGAATTGCTTACCAAATCTAAGTTGGATCTTCTTCTACGTACCTCGTCAGAACATGAGCAATCATGGCTCTCTACAATTTCCATTCTATTGAAGCTCTTAGCAATTTTTTCATTATCCCTCCCCTTCACTGTTCTGTCATCCATGTATACAAGCTCATTAGGTAGGTTACTCACTCTTTTACAACTCCATTCTTCTTTCATTCAAAATGTCTTGTGACTTAAAATTCTTCATTTTTTCTTTGAAGGTTATGTTTTTTATCAATTCACTCCCAAGCAAGGCAATAATGTCACTAAGATGCAAAGGGCTACTGGGAATGAAAGATAATGGCAAGACTTTAGAAGGAACCAGAAACCCAATCCTAAGCAAGAAACAAGGGATAAACCTCTACTCCTGTTCAAAAGACAGGGTAGATAACCAAACAGTCTGTTTCATGCTTAAATGCAACCTTCAGGCCATGTGTGTAGCATTTAAGCATGAAACAGACTATCGCCACTTTCCTTTAGAAGGAAACAGAAACCCAGTCCTAAGCATGAAACAAAGGATAAACCTCTACTCCTCTTCAAATTTCAGGGTAGGTGTGTGAACCAGATGATAACCAAACAGTCTGTTTCATGCTTAAATGCAATCTTAAGGCTGTGTGTGTTGCGTTTAAGTATGAAACAGACTGTCACCACTGCATGTTGACTCAATGTCTACTTTTATATTCACATATGCTCTATCTCTGATACTGGGCATATATAAATATAGCATACATTGAAACTATATTTTTATCACACACACACACACATATATATATATATACTAGCTTAAAAGCCACCCTATTAGGCAGCATTTAAACTAGCTCCTGCCGAGGGCTCTTGATTGAGCCTTTATCATAATAGGTACTAGTAGATGCAATAGGCAACAATAAACTACAAAAAAACTCAAAACTGATCGTTGCATTTAAGTATTGCATTAATATTTAAGCTTTTAAAAGTTGAATGATAATTCTTTTACTGCCACTTAATTTAAAGACAATTTCATGTAATTAGGTCCTTACTTTCCATACAAAGAATTATTTTTATTTCATGGATGACTTTCACTGGATTTTGCAATTAATTTTGATTATTCCCAAATTTATTTCGATGTAATAAAATTGTTATTGCATAAAAAAATTTGTCACAAAAAATCATGTAAAAAAATTGCCATAAACAATCGCAGTAATGAAAACTTGGGAATCCAAAATTTCAGGATTGCAAGTCTGGATCCTGCCTTGATTTTTTTAAATTTGCTCACAAAGTCAGCCTGATTCATGCTGGTCTATGGCCTCTAGGAGTAAAGTTGAAAAAGTGTGGCACAGTGACACACTGACATTCGCATTTATTATATATATATATATATATATATATATATATATATATATATATTGTCATCTGGCATACATTATCAGGGCAAATGTGATGGTTTTATTTTGCAACAAGTATATATTTGATAGTCACTTAAAATTTTTTCCCAACCTTACCTTTCCTGAAGGAATTAATACTTTCCCAAGCCAACATACACAACAAATGTGTTGAAAAATCAAAGCAAAATGGCTGAATCCATCATTTCAACTTTCAGAGATGCATAATACAAAAAAAAACTTTTTCGAGTATACTAAATGACGTAATGTAAGGTCTAAATGCTTGGACATTTCACTTAACCTGGTTAATATTTATGATCATTCTTAAATTTAAAAATTTTAAGTAAATGTCATATATATACTAGTTACAAAATAAAACCATCACATTTGTTTGTGTCCATTAGATGATGAAACATGTCAACTAAATACTAAGTATAGTTTTCCTCTTGTCTTTTCATTCATTTTGTCTCTTCTATTGATATACTTCATCTCTCTCTCTCTCTCTCTATATATATATATATATATATATCCAAGTGTAAAAGAACAAAAAGAATAAAATTCAAACGTTTATAACATTAATTTAAAAATGGCTCAATACAAGAGTAGATCAATAGATATTTATTATAAACTGTTACATTAGAACATTCAAGTTACTACTACAAAATTGCATATTTTGTTTCCACGTTTAACATATCTCATTAGTTCTGTTATAGACAAGCGTATGGTTGCAAGAAAGAAATACGACAACAGCAGAAATAGATTTATGTGGTTTATTTCAACAGGAATGTGAGGGTTTGGGACAGCTACCTTGTGGTGTAGTTCATAAGCTGGCTTCGGATCTAGGTCGATCTCTCATAGTAGTTCACACATGTTGACGATGGTTGATGCTCCTCTGCTGTCAGCTGCTGACCGTGACAGGTCTCTACCCTGGCCACCTGTGGACTGCCTGTTGAACTTCCGTGTGACCTTTTTTATAGCGTTTTTTTATGGCTTAACAGGCTCAAAAAACAAGCGAGTATAATTAGGAGGAAGCATTTTATTGGACGAAAAAATAGAACACTTTAAATATTATTTTATTTTTCGACCAGAACTCGTGTGTCGGGAACATTTGTAAACGAAGATAATGGTCATTTTGTGACGGGGCTTTGTCCCGTTCACATCAGGCTCTTGAGTATTTGCCTGTAAATCAGCCGAGATATGTCTTATTTTATTTTATAACAAGGCTCCCCCAGATCTCGGTCTGATTTACAGTGAGCGTTATTTATGTATATTTGGGTGATTAATTCATGATAAAGTCTCTGAAGCGTGTGGGAAGTTGTCCTCGTGTTCTTCTTATTGGCATTTGTTTTGGTATGGAGTTATTTGCTGAATTATGTGTCTCCAAGGGATGTGGAGGAGAATGATCCTGGTGACTGTTACATGGTGGAGGCAGAGGGATTGTATTAGAAAGATGTGTTGGGCGTGGAGCCAGTCGTCGGATATGTGCACGGTGAATCCAGATTGTATCACCATCATCGTTTTGCACCTGACACATCATATTGTTCATTTTTATAATGGTGTAATTTTCTATCCAGGGCAGATGAGAGGATTGGGCAACAGTTGAGTGTGGCCGATGAAGTAAAACCTTGTCACCTACTTGTATTGGGTCCTTGTATGTGAGGCGATTTAAGTTAGTCTCAAGTTTGTGGTTGGCTTCATCGTTGGCCAGGGTGACGTGGTGGTGAACCTGCTTTAGCAGGGCATTAATTTGCATTCCATATGCTCCAGGATTGTTGCTTGTGATTTCTTTTCTGTATAGTGTAGGTAGGCCGATGTTGTGGTGACGGCCGGTAATGGCATAGTGCGGGGAGACACCGGTGGTGCTGTTGGTCATAACATTCATGAACGTCTGTCCATTCACAGTTCCTGTCTTCGCATAACATATAAAGTGCGTTCTTCATTGTGCGATGTTGTCGCTCAATATTTCCTGAGCTTTGCAGGCGCCAAGGACA